TTCTTCTGTGTTACTTCTAATAGTTCATTGAAAGCTCTTGTACCCAGTCCACATAAGGCTTAGCATGCTTTCCTCCCCTCTCCAAAATTGTGCTGCTCATTCTTGTCTGTCGACTTATTTCTGCTCTACACCTGTATCCTAGGTAACCCATTTCTCTTCCTTCCCATGTACCTCAAAGCCCATTTTCTCCAATTACCCCATGCCATGTCACTCTAGCAATTTCTTTCTGCATACATGTGCAAAACAATTCTCTAATTTGAGTGACAACCATGATTACAACTTGCTCAGGAGTAGATATTTAAATGTATTTTACACTGTTGAATTTTGAGTTTCCAGAAAGCAAGAGCACTGTATTCCTAAGGTCAGAAGGTAAGTTCGTGAGTGAGTTAAACAAAAGTGTGAAGTTCACATTTCAAGGCAATTAGTAGTCCATGGAGCAAGAACACAGAATTTATGCCATCATCTCAGGTCCATAGCACATCTTTAATAAAAAATGCTTCTTGGAAGTTTGAGAAGACGTGCTTTAAAGCTTTCTGCAGCAGGAGGGCTGTGTGATAGGAATAATTGAGTCCATTGTCTCTGACACAGAACTCCATCCTGCAAGTATCCTCAAAATTGCGATAGGTCAATCCACTAAAATGTGTCGTTTTGATGGCAACTACTTGGTAAGTGTACAAACTCCTGCATGTAATTGTTGTTTTAACTGCAGCTACTGTCTCCTTCTCTTATAGGTGAAAATTATGAATAATCCAGTTGACTGTAAGGATTCATCAAAACTCAGCAAGAGATTTTGTATTTAATGTGTCACTCAGATAATGCAGGACATCTACATTAGCAAGGATTTTCCTTTCCCAATACACCTTTTTTTCTGGAGGTAGGATTTATAGTTTTAACAACATTGAGCAAGGCATATAGATATTGGTATAGAAGCTCTTGAGAGTATGGGGAGTGTCCTTGAAATTGAAAGTAAGGCACAATTATTAGGAAAAGGGCAATACTTTAAATACTGCCTACAGTGTTTGTCCCCTGTGAATGTCATCATCATTTGTCCATGTGGTTTTCACTACTTGATTTATTTACTTAGATATTTTTTATTTTGATTTGAGGCATAGGCTTCCTCAAAGTTACCTGAAACAAACAATATATGTGAGAATTGTTCATACGATTAGGAATCCCTTCCCTTGCCCTTCTGAGATCTTAGTCTTTTTGCCAGTGCATCAGAATGCATTCAAAATCAAATCAGTGAGAGCATCACACATGTATAAGAGATTTACCTTGAAAATACTTCCATCACTTCAAAGCAAAGGTGCAGACAAGTCTCTTTCTCTTTGTGTCCTCTTTCCAGAATACTCAAGAGATAGGTTCCAATATTTTGTCCCTAGACCAGGTACCAAGGTTCAAGCATGTGACTGTAATATGTAGCTAGCTACCATCCTCAAAAGAGTTATCAGTGTGAGCAATTGAGGAGGAAATCCAGGGCTCCTAGCCATAACTTCCATTCTCAGGCACACTCATGTCATTATCAATGCCTGACAAATCATTGTAGATACCCATCATTAAAAGGGCCTAAGCTTCCCCTCCATAAGTAAGCTATGTGAGGAGTCTAAGCCTTTGGAAAAGTTACCCTACATGCAAGAAATGTTGGTCAGCATATTGCTGTGACAAAGGGCCTTTGGAAATGGAATGTGACCCTAGTACAATTCTTACACTTCTAACTTTGTTGACTGTTTCAGCATTCAGGCCTTTCAAAGGAGATTTGGTGCTGGTGGCCTATTCCATGATCCCAGGAACTTCATATATCAACATTGACTCTGTGAGCCCACTTAGCTTTCAGAATATGCAAAGGGTAAGTTACTTCATAGGTAGGTGGCTGGCTATCAATCCTTACTGATCCCTTTCTCACCCAGGGTTTTGTTTGGTATGTGTGGCAGTATATCCCCTGCCAAAGTGCATGTACTGAAATACACGTTTGTTCACTGACTGAAAAGGAAATAAGCAGAAAGTTATGTAGAACAAACACATACTCAGTTCCTAAGCTGTGAGCTTTACTCGATGTTAGGCTGTTCCGTGGACAACAGTTAGAAGAGTGTCTTGGCTATGAGGCAATAGTGGGGAAACCCTGAGTGCAGGGGGTTTGAGGTGTTCAGCTTTCTGATGAAGGCAATCAAGACTTCGGTCAGTACAGCCTGAGACGAGATGTAAAACCAGGGAAGTAGAGTGTGTAGGGCAGACACCCAGGACTCCTCCTGTTTGCCTGGTTTAATTAGAGAATGGGGGGGGGGTGACTCAGATGTCTTGACTCAGTACCCAGGCATTTCCTGAGTGTCAAGGATGAGAGCCAGGATAGGGTGAAAGATCTGCTGTTTGGATCTGAGGGGTTAGGGAGGACCATCTGTGATGGGTTATCCTTCTCCATGCTCATTGCCATCATTTCTCATTATAGGCCTGTATTACCAGCCTTGATGGAGTAATTGACTCTGTTGAATCCGATTTATTTTTCATCTTGGATTCCTAGATAACACCTCCTGATTTTACTCTTGGACTAAACGACACTGTTAATGTGGTTGTTGTGGACACCCACCAACCACACTGTTCTTACAGAGCTGTGTCTGGCCCCAGCCGCAATTCATGTTAACCAGGTATTCTAATATATTTTCACTTATACTTCTGACATTCTGCTTCAATTAAGCAATATGCGCATGTACTCCAAACATCTGTGAACTATGCCTGTTCTTTCACCCTGGTAATTTCATTGGCAACATGAACTCCCTTTAGAAATGTACCTTGTCAGTTTTAAAACATGCAGAGAAATTGCCCTGACCTCAGGGTAATTGCATCATTTTCTATAAGCAGGAGCAGATTCTCTGGGGCAGTGGCCTTGTGGGCCACGAAGCATCACATAGAAGCAAAACGTTTAAGATCCCAGGAATGAGCAGGCAAATGTGAGCAGGCATGATTTAACATTGCAGCTTGCCTTGTTGTTTAAGTCCCTTTGAGCCTTTCCAAAGCTGACTTCTCTACAATATCTTTCATTTCCCACCACCTAGTCCATGTGTTAAATATAGTGTTTATATGTTGATCTTCTTCCTGTAACAGTCTGCCAAATAAGGCAGTTCAGAGAAATGAGGGACTAGACTCAGGTGTACTCCAAACAGAAAGATGAGTGCAGACTTTTATTAGTCTAAGTACTGACTTCAGATTTAGGGACTTCTGTGAAGTTGACTGGCCCTTCTTTGACATTGTCAACCTTTAGAAGGAATCCTGGACCTGGCTACCATCTGCAGAGTGAGGGATGCCTGCACTGGAGATCCAGGCTACCCTGACCAATTTCCTTACAGCAATACCTCGTATGGTCTGGTGCTTCATCCCCAAAACAGGGTTCAATTCCATTCCCCTTGGAAATCCATGGTTGTCCTAATCTCTTAGAGAGTCTCAACCCCAGAAACCACCTATCTTCCAGGCAAAGGGTCAAGATTTGGAACTTCCACCATATACCCCCTCCTCTTGGGTGTAGCCATCCCTACCCTCAGAGTCAGGAACCCCAAACTCTAATGTATTTTATATCCTACCTTGCCACCCAAGATCTTGCCCATACCATAGCTGCTATTGGCCCCTTGGCCCACAGACCACTGGAGGAGTTTTCTGTCCTCAGGTCACTTAAGGTCCACCAGGTCCCTTGAATGCTTCCTATGTCCAGCAATACATTTTGCCAATTGCAACAAACTCCAATGCCTGCGAATCTCCAGGAGGCTGGGATTCTCAGACCAGGCCTAGTTTAATATGTTTATCAGCCATTTACCACTACTGATCTTCCTAAGTAGTGACATCAAACCCCACCATACTCAGAGCATCCATAAGTTACGATCAACCTTCTGATCAGCGTGATGTACAGCCAACAGCCTACTTGGGACAACTGCTAATATAACTCCTGACTGCCCTTTTTATCGAAGATGAAGAGTGTAATATCTACCAGACAACATTTGCTTGCCTAATCATTCAAGCACCCCGGGACACACTAAAATCCTAGAGTGATTTGATGACACCTTCTTTCCTGCTGAGTGTTCCAAATGTAACCCCAAACTCACCAGAAGGCCTCCGGACCCTCTAAGAATGAGGACAGTCATCCTGGAGGAGTTGCGAATGGAGACTGTAGAGTCACAAACCTGGTCAAAATTTAAGATGTCACTCAGGGCCCCATGAGGTCTCTGAAACCAATTCCACGACCATCTCTGTGACACTTAAAGATAGTAACACCCTTTTTGACCCAGAGGCCCATGTGCTTTTACCCAACAGTTGGCACCGAATGTTCACCAAAAGCTAGAGTGACTCGCAGGGATGCCTACTGAGTAACTCAGAGACATCACCATCAAAGTGGTTACTAATTGGGAAGAGGTTGCACAGAAAGAAAAGGAAAACGGCAAACAATTACCGAAAAAGGCAAACAATGATGGTGGCTCACATTGGAGACTGGAGAAAATTCAGATACCTCCCCCCCCCAAAAAAAAAGGAAGCTCACCAGAGACCACCAGGGACCAGTGTACTTATTGTAAGGAAAAATTACACTGGAAAAATGAGTATCCCAGAAAGAAGGTACCAAGGGTCAAAGAAAAACCCCCAAAGGAAAAAAAAAATAAGGCCCCTACAGTAGTCATAGTGAAACAAAAGTCCCTGCAGGGGCCTGAGGCTACCACTTGGAAAACAGACTCACTCTGAAAGCTGCCAGATTTAATCAAGATCGGCCCCCAGGAGCCTGTGGTAAAAATAAATGTCAGGGGCCAAACACTGGACTTTATCTCAGACCCAGGAACAGTCATCTCCACGGTAACTTCTCCCACTGGGAAGCTCACCAAAGACACCATTGTTGGAGCCATTGGGACCATTAAGAAACACTGATTCTGCAAGTTGTGTGATTGCTTCATCGGAGGCAACAATTTTTGTATGTGCTAGGAGCCCCTGCCTAGCCCCTTGGAAGAGATTTATTGTCAAAACTGGGAACTACTATGATGATCATCCTGAACTTCGATGCCACCTACCGACATTTGAGGTGTGTCTGGAGGAGGAATGGTGGCTTCACTTGAAAGCCATGGATTGAAGTATCAATACAGCAGCCCCCTTAAATAGCTCAGACAGCAGTTTCCTCATGTGTGGACACTTGGAGAGAAACCAGACTAACAAAAGGATAACCTCCAAAACTGGACCATACTGCAATGTATGGATAATTTTTTACTGGTTGCCTCTATGGAATGAGGCATCGGTGAACTATTAAATTTTTACAAAAGACAGGATACAAGGTCCTGCAAAAGGCCCAGATCTATCAGGAAGAAGTCACGTACCTCAAATACTACTTTGCTTTTACTAGTGGAATATGGAGCTGTCGCCCAGGGAGGGGCTGTAGAATGGTATTCCTGACTCCATACATAGATATTCTCCCTTGTCCAGACATGGCTCAACACTTGGAACCTCATCACTGGGAAAAAAAGAAACTCTATCTTACTCCTGATATTACTGGGGATAGCCTACACTGGCACTGATGCCATAAGTGCAGTTGTGCTCAGAATCCAAAAGAGCCAGCTGTCCAATCAAATTAAGGAGGACCTCGGCATAGCAGAGGTTCCTACCTGCTGAGCCAGGAGACTCCCAGGCAGCCATGTTCTTAACAAATCACAGTGAGATAGAGCTAATTACTGCTTTAAAAGGCTGGCATGAGTGCCAGGTGCAATGGTGCATGCCTGTAATCCCAGCACTTGGGGAAATAGAGGCAGGCAGATCTTTGTGAGTTCCAGGCCAGCCTGGTCTACAAAGAAAGTACAGGATAACCAAGGCTACACAGAGAAACTCTGTCTCAAAAACAAACAAAAGCTGGTAGGCAAGTCTTTTGGGGAGAGGAATGTTGTTTCTATGCAAATCAACCAGGGACACTAAGAAAATTCTTAAATAATTGTTAGATAGCGTACATTGCTAGATAATTATTAGAATAAATCAGGGCCACAGACAAGACCAAAAGCTCTTCTTAGGGTGAGACCTGAGCTTCCTGAAGGCCTTGGCTGGCCTCTCCGGTGGGATCATTGATTATTATTCTCCTGACTCTACTTTTTGGACCATGCCTTATAAATCTTCTAACTTGCATCACCAGAAACAGTATAGAAGCAGGTAGACTACAGGGCCTCCACCAGTATCAGAGTATTCCTTCAGAAGGAGCAAAAGGGGTTCTGACAAAGAGGAGGAAATGTAGATAAAATCCCCAAAAGAGCCACATATTAAATGAAGAAAATTCCCCAGTGCTGAGATAGTTCCCTTGAGCTGATCCTGCCACACTTACAGTATCATAAAGAGCAACAGGCACTGAAGAGGTGGGATAATATAATTTTAGCCCTGCCCAACCTCCATCATTTACAGGCACATAGATGCTTTTGTACTTGGAGTTACAGTTTGCTTGATTCCAGTCTTCTAAATATAAAAGGCTGCTGAATCTGAGGCAAGAGGCTGCTCCATTACACTCTGACATAGCCAACTTTCCTCTCCCCAACTGAAAATGGCTTGATGATTCAGTTACCCGAAAATTCCTGCAACAATTGGTTTCCATACGAAGATTAAAAGTGACTGGCTTTTTCTGATACCAGACACAAAAATTAACTCACAATGAACAAAGGCAATAAATAAATAAATAAATAAATAAATAAATAAATAAATAAATAAATAACATACAGACATTGTAGGGGAATATTTTATTTTATTTCTTGGAAAACAGATTTTTCTCAGCCAAGACCAAGATAGTCAAGAGAATCTTCTCCTTCCTTAAGAATGCCTGGACAAAGGAGGTGGTGCTGGTCTGGGGCCTTGTTATAATTATACCCAAAGTCAGTTCCTACACCAAGTATGCCACCTCAGTCAACCAGACCACACCCTACAACTACCCAGTGCCAGTACAAGATAATGGGTACATGCTCAATGTTCCCATCTACCCCTGGGACCCTCAGGGCCTAAGCCTGGAATGGCTGAAGATGCTGTGAATATGCCTATTGATGAAAGAGGCCACTTCCTTATTACCCCCAACTTAAAAAAATGTGGAAACCGGTGCCCACAAAGAAAATAGATTCTTCTCTCATACAATACATCTTAATGCAGTTTTTCCTCCCTCTACTCCTTCTAGTTCTGTACTACCTCCCCTCTCCAGAGGATCCACTCTCCCTCTGTGTTCCCATCAGAAAAGATCAGGCTTCCAAGAGAAAACATCAAATCTTGACAAAACAAGATACAATAAGATGAAGCGAAAGCCCTCACAAGGAAAGTGGACAAGGCAACCCAATAGAAGAAAAATTGTTATAAGGGAATATGCCATTTTTTATTTGTACTTTTGTGTTTTTTCCTGCATGTGTTTATGCGCAATACATGTGTGCCTCATGTCCGAAGAGGCCAGAAGAGGGCAGCAGATCTCTAGAGAACCTATAGTACAGAGAAACAATTTTTTGCTTCACAGTAATTGCAGTTTTCTCTAAAACACATAGAGGTGAATATTCACCCAGCATACAGAACTATAAATTGGCTAATGATGTAAATCAGTGGTAGGGCACAGTGTGGACGCTAGGAGTTTGATCTTCAGTAGTGGAAAAAAAATCAGTAATAAGTCCCACAAATCAAAAACTGATTTGTCCAATTTGTCCAATTAACTCCAAATTGTAAAATCAGCATGAAACCTAATTTGCTGGTGAAAGGAAACAAACAAAATTACCACTAAGCATTTTAGGAGCCTAATCTTAGGACTGATTTGAGAAATTGTTGTTATAATGTTTTTTGGAATGCATACAGTTTACCCTTGTTCATTCACATACTGGTTTCACTACCTGCTTTCAATCCGGACATTGCATTGTGATGCTTATTCTAAGCGTCACCAGTCTCAAGTTTGTGTAAACATGCCATCATTTGTTCTCTGTATTTTCAATAAAACAACCACCCAATGCTGTGCAATGGAGAGAATAGGGTGGGATATCCTAGTCCAGAGGGGAGGAGAGAGAAGAAATGGGAGGAATGGGAGAGCAGAGTTGGTAGGAGAGGAATTGGAACCACCAGGAGAGATGAACTGGACCTAAGATATGACTAAAAGCAAGTATAATGGGTGAAATCTGACTGGTAGAAAACTGTGCAGGCGTGGAGGTTTAGGATGGAGTAACTATTGCCTAGCATTGTGCTTTAGGTTAATTAAGTAAATCCTCTGTGTGGTGATTTGGGTATACAACTGGTTTAAGAATAACCGCAGCTTAACTCCAGATAAATTAATAATAAATATTATTAACCCACAACAAATGGTGCCCAACTAATCTAAGTCGCCACACACTTTTATATCATACTCTAACATAATTTAGTGTGTGTTGGGGGAGGGGAATAAGCTCCCAGGGATACAACCCAAACTTAAAACCTAAAATCTCCCAGGTCAATTACTGTCTCTTTAAGAGACACTCTTAAACAGGCCCAGGAGCAAAAGAGAGCCTACTGTGGGCAGACTGAAACTTAACAAAACTGGCTGCCACTATAGTCTAACAAGATGGGAGAGACAATAAAACAGACTTCTTGGAGCTTGGCTGATAATCTCTTCTATGGTTTTAAGACAGAAATAAAAGAAAATTTAGAAATTATGACTATGGTTACATTCATAGTCCTCAATTTAACTTTAACCATTGGATTAACATTTTATGTCTTCTCAAAGGCAAAGGCTTTAGAAAAGATACTGGAACAACACAAAGAACAATATAACGAAAAAATTAAAAGTTGGAAGCAAGGCATAAAACAAGAGAATCAAGAGATTTTTGAACAAAACAAACAACAGAGAGATAGGTGTGAAATATGGGTACAGACTTTAAGAGAAGAGTTTAGAATACTAAGTAAAGAAAATACTTAGGCAGAGGCAAAAGATAAAAATAAAGTCAACCAAAGGTGGTTAGAAAACAAACATTAACTTATCCAGTCAGTACACAACAGAGACCAGCAAATGGTGATCATCCACAGTATTATCATGAAGCTGAATGGCACCCTGTGGAAGAAAAGTGTCACAGGCAGGAGAGATGGCTCAAAGGTTAAGAGGCTGCTCTTCCATAAGGCCCTGAGTTCAATTCCCAGCAACCACATCGTGGCTCACAGCCATCTGTAACGAGATCTGGTGCCCTCTTCTGGTGTGCAGGCACGCATGCAAGCAGAACACTGTATACATAATAAATAAACCTTAAAAATTTGAAAGAAAAGAAAAGAAAAGAAAAATGTCACTAATTTTGGAACGCATTCACCATTTGTAAAACAAATGCTGACTTTCTGGTCAATCAGAGTAATCCCAAAAGACTGGGAGGATATGGCAAAGGCAATATTAGAACCTGGGCCATATTTACAATGGCTATCATGGTAGAGAGAAGAGGCTAGAGAGATAGTACACAAAAATAGAGCCAGAGGTGCTGCTGTTTCTAAGGAAAAACTGCTTGGTGATGACCAATATGTTGACACAAAGATACAAGCTGTATATAATGAAGAAATCTTAGCATTATGTCACCTAGCAGCCTTAAATGCTTGGGACAAGGTTGAGGAATCAGGAGAAAGGCTTGAGCCATTCTCTAAGGTCATACAAGATCCAAGTGAAACATTCACTAACTTTTTGCAAAGATTGACCTCAGCTGTGGATAGAAGTATATCAGATCCACTAGCTAAAAAAGCACTAATAGAATCTTTAGCTTTTGAAAATGCTAATGCATTTTCTGAATGCAAAGAGGCAATAAGGCCATTAAGAGCAAGATTGGCAACAATAGACAAATGGATTAGAAATACAACTGACATCAGACCTCATTCACCCAGAGTGACCTTGATAGGAGAAGCTACCCCTAAAGACCTTCAGAAATGTCTTAATTGTGATGGACAAGCTTACTACAAAGGGAGGTACAAGAAAAACCAAAATAATTTAAAAAGGGATCCCATGTTTCCTAGAATATGCAAAAGAGTGGCAAAGGTCTACATTGGCTTAGTGAATGTAGAACAGTTATGGATAAATGGGGTAATCCTTTATCAATAAAGGACCAAGGAGGCCTATTGCAGGCCCCAACACAGGACAGGAATACTCCTCCACAAGAAAATTAAACACCACTGCTCTGGGAATAAACATTAAAAAATTAGACAGCAGGGCCAGAGCAAGTTCCGTAGATAAATAAAAAAATAAAAATAAAAATAAAAAATAAAAAAAAAACAGGAAAGAAACAAAAAACAAATATGTTGGCACATTTCTATAAATGATTAAAGGCCAAAGTTAAAGATAAATTTAAATAGTATTGAAATTGAAGGCATGCTATATACTGGGGCTGATGTCACAATTATCACTCCTAAATCCTGGCCCCCAAATTGACCACTTCAAGAGGTGGATATCCAATTCCAAGGAGTTGAAACTTTATCTAAAGTAAAACAAAGTGTCAGGTGACTTAAATGTACAGGACCGGAAGGTCAAATAGAAAAAATAAGGCCATATGTGGCTGAGATAGCCATAAATTTATAGGGAAAAGATCTGTTACAACAATGAAAAACTCAGATTAACATCCCCCAATTTCAGAAGCAGGTCAAAAAACAGGTAATACTCCTGATAAAGAAGTTAAATTATTTTTTTAAATGCCATCAAAAACAGTTACAGACTGTCCAGGCTGTCCATAAACAAAATATAGCAGCGGCCATCTTTTCAATTTCATGTTGGGAAGCCACTGTTAATAAAACCCCACAGCCTCACCACTAAGGTAAGAGAGTTATGGGTTCAGGTAGCAAACTGTCTCTGTCAGTTTTTATTTTTTGGAAGCTGCTAACATGTACTTCCTATTTACTCTAGTAACTAACTAATTGTATTCCTTCTTAAGTCTCTTGCGGGGTTAAAGACCAAATAGTTATAGTTCCACAATTAAGCTTAAGTTGTTTAGAATTTTTAAGAAAATGTTTTTGGGGCTGGAGAGATGGCTCAGAGATTAAGAGCACTGTCTGCTCTTCCAGAGGTCCTGAGTTCAATCCCCAACAACCACATGGTGGCTCAAAACCATCTATATCAAGATCTGGTGCCCTTTTCTGGCCTGTAGGCATCATTGTATATATAATAAATAAATAATTTTTAAATGTTTTCATGTAGGTAATACCAATAAGGATAAAAGTAAATTTAGGTATATAACTCTAAACTTGTCAAGATAGGATAATCAGATACTTTCTCCCAAGTTGCCAAATACATGTGAACTGGACATTGCACTTGTAAATCTTACCTAATAGATTTCATAACTTTTATATTTATTATTGTATTGAAAAAGGGGGCCTTTTATTGGATTTAAAGGGGAAAATGTAGGTATAATGTTCTTTTGGAATATATACAATTTACCCTTGTTCATTCAAATGCTGATTTCTCTACCCCACCATCTGGTTTCAATCTGGACATCGCATTGTGATGCTCTCAAGTTTGTGTAAACATGCCACCATTTGTTCTCTGTATTTTCAATAAAACAACCACCCAATGCTGTGTAATGGAGAGAATAGGGTGGGATATCCTAGTCCAGAGGGGAGGAGAGAGAAGAAATGGGAGGAATGGGAGAGCAGAGTTGGTAGGAGAGGAATTGGAACCACCAGGAGCGATGAACTGGATATGACTAAAAGCAAGTATAATGGGTAAAATCTGACTGGTAGAAAACTGTGCGGGCTTGGAGGTTTAGGATGGAGTAACTATTGCCCAGCATTGTGCTCTAGGTTAATTAAGTAAATCCTGATTTCTGTGTGGTGATTTGGGTATACAGTTGGTTTAGGAATAGCTGCTGTTAACTCCAAATAAATCAATAATAAATATTAATAACCCACAACAAGAAATACAAGCAAACAATGGAAACAACAACAAAACTCACACAGAGAGAGGCTAGAGAGATGGATAGATGAATGTCTTGGTAAAGTTCTTTCCTTGCAAACATAAGGACTTAGGCTGGGAGCCCAGAGAATCCAGTTTAAATATGCAGGCTGGCAGCCCAGTGCT